GAGTGTCAAATATTTGGCATTTGACAAAGATCCAAAGAAACAAATGAGGATATTATAGGACCTGGAGTTCAAATGGACTTGAAGTCCACAAACGACATGAAGTTTATTTACTAAGCGCAATTGTGCTGAACTTTTATCTCGCAAACTGCATCAGGCCTGATACTGCATTTGTGATGAATTTGCTAGCAAGATTTACTAAATCTTTCCTTAGAGAGATATCGTGATAAATATTGAGAATATCCCATTATTCTTCATGTATGTTGAGTTATCTTTGGACTTGATATATGATATTGGTGGATAATGACATCAATTGTATAATTGATCCCCGAAGTATGGGTCCTCAATTGGTTATATACCTCTCAAATGGTATTAACTCTTTACCATTGGTTATTGAAATTTCTTCATATTTATCCTGAATATAACTTAGTTTGTGTTACACAAATAAATTATATAAATACATTCGATGATATTTTTGAATCTATATCAACTCCCGAAGAGCAACAAATGACGATTTTATGTTAGAAACTTTTACATTGAGGGGGAGCAACATATAATTATGAATGAAACTAAACAGGTTTTCCCTTCAGGGGGAGCGATAAATAAATCTCGAAGATCGAACCCGGAAGGTTAATTATAATCCTGAAGATTAGGCTCTGTTGGCCGGTGTTGTACACCTTTTCCCTTGACTAAGTTTTTTCCCATTGGGTTTTACTTAGTAAGGTTTTTAACGAGGCAACAAGTGTAACAAATAAATTTGCATGTGTCATGTACTCTTTTCCTCGACTATTTTTTTTCCACTGGGTTTTGTAGCGTGGTTTTTAACGAGGCATGGACATGATGCGGTAATGTCCAAGGGGGAGTGTTGTAAATATTAAGTTGTGGACATTACCTAGATATAGGATTTGTAGGCATGGGCCAGGAGCCCATTAGGTATTTACTCATGTACATTATATTCCCTTATATATAGGGCTCAAGTGAATGAATAAGATGATGGTTTTAACCGCGTATCTCTTCTCTCTTATTCTCTTCTTCTTCTACTGTTTCTATCTTTGTCTATTTTACACCTAGATTTTACATATTGTCAATCTATATTACAACAAATATAACATTATTATTATTGATTGACATTTTTATCTTATTATCAAATGACAGTAATGCTCCCCTACCCACGATGTACACAATTTAATATGCACACTGTTTATGTAGCATGTACACATTGGTGATGTATTTTTTTAAACATATTAACATCAACAATGTGTGAATGCATATTAATGTGTGCGCCGTGAGTAGAGAGCACTACTATATTGGAGGAAAAAAACCCCGATCAATATGTAAATTCGGTTAACTCGTTTAACAAACAAATAATAATTAACACTTGATTGATTCAAATTTGAAGAGGCCCGTGTATAAAAAATCCCCGTCTATCTTCTCGTTTTATAGCGTAAAACTGCAGCATTTGGATCGGGTCAGCCTCTAACCAAGATCTGCCCTTTCTTTCTTCTTCTTCTTCTTCTCCTCTTCCAAGTTCTGATTCCTGTAAGCTTTTCGATTCTGTTCCCCACATTTTGGTGGGTTTTAGCATTCAATTCGTTTTTTTTTTTTTTTTGGGCGTAATCTGCAGATCTGGAGTAACGACAACTTTCCTCAATAGATCGGGTCGAGCGTGTGCGCTTGTTTGTGTGTTTGTTTGATTTGTTATGTTGTTTGTAAATGTGAATCTGTGATCAGCTATTCCATTTGGGTTTCTTCATTTCCTGCGATTTTGTTGCTTCAAGGGGTGTTTTTAGATCATTCATGCCTGATCGTGAATTTTTCGGTTACGCTTGTGTAAGCTGAACTAATTTTAGGAGCTAAATTTTGATGATTTTCCATCGATCTTTCATTCTTCTTCTGTTTTCTTGTAATTTTAGGAGCTAAATTTTGATGATGTGCCATCGATCTTTCATTTTTCTTTTGTTTTCTTGTAATTTTAGGAGCTAAATTTCGATGATTTTCCCGTCGATCTTTCATTATTTTCTTGTTTAATTGACAGCATCCTAGATTCATTGAAATGTTACTGGGTTTTGTATGCATAGTTTGAATCAGAAATGTTGAAGGTCCTGCATGAATTGAAGTTAAGGTTAATAACATATCATTTTCTTTGTGATTATACTTCGGAAGTGTAAATTAATAATGTGTCCATATAATGATTAAGTGGGCCTTGTCTCATTGCCTGTATATTTGAATTGAATTCCTTGTTTTAGTTGAGTGGTTTTGTTTTTGGTGTAAAACCTTTCTGAGTTTTATTTGGTGTTTCAAGATGGACTTATCATACACATCTCCTCTAGTACAAGTTTTTTGCACTTTGTTGTATGGAGTATAGTGAACAAGTATCTTTTCTCATCTTCCCTGGGATTTTCCTTTTCCATGTATACTAGTTTCGATGTGATACTATGGCTTCCTTTGCCTACATCGTTCACAATGTATTTATTTGTTTCTATATCTTGTGAAGTCCTTAAAAGATGAACGCAAGAAACCATGGCAATCCCAATTACCATTCATCTCTCTCTCTCACTAAGCTGAAATCTGTTTCTGGTGTTAATTATGTTTCCAACAGGCTGAAAAATGGGTTTGTCATTCACCAAGCTTTTCAGCCGGCTGTTCGCCAAGAAAGAAATGCGAATTCTCATGGTCGGTCTTGATGCTGCCGGTAAGACCACCATATTGTACAAACTCAAGCTTGGAGAAATTGTGACAACCATTCCTACAATCGGTACGTTTTCCTTTATTATGAACTGTCAACAATATAATTCACAGTCGACTTACATGCTGAAGACTTGGTTTCAATAAAACTGAAGCAACGTAAAAGTTTAGATTTATATGGAACAGGAATTATGCTCTGCATAATGTCTTGGTGGCCTGCTCGAATTTCATGGTGCCTGTGGATTTATAATTTTTGTCCTGCGATTGTCATTTGTCATCAAGTCTCTGACATATATGAAACTTCTGTAGGTTTCAATGTGGAGACAGTGGAATACAAGAACATTAGCTTTACTGTCTGGGATGTTGGGGGTCAGGACAAGGTATAAATAGTAATTATAAGATTGTTTAACTTGTATTTTTGGTGTGCCTCAAAGCCCTTACTTGATGAGAAGGTAGAATCTAAGTTGAATCTAATTGAATAGATGTGGCGTGCGTATTTAAACTAACCCAATTTCTGTATCTGTAATCAATGCCCATTACCATGAGAAACAGTCTTGGATGATTTTTCTGATGAGTTTTTCTACCCCTGATAGAATAAGATGTAATTTTTGCTTCGTAGTTAACTTGAAACTTCATTTGTTTCGTCTTGTCAAAGAACCCATCAATATGAGAGATGTATTCATTCTCTTTAATGTTGTTTTCTGCACATCTAGCTTTCGTATACTTATGATGAACATTGTAGGCTGCTTCTGACATTTTATATTTGCTCATTTAGATCCGACCATTGTGGAGGCATTACTTCCAGAACACTCAAGGCCTGATTTTCGTCGTTGACAGTAACGATCGGGATCGTGTTGTTGAGGCAAGGGATGAACTTCACAGGATGTTGAATGAGGTAACAAAGCCTGATGAGTGTTCCTCTCGTCTTCGTTGCCTTCCTTTTTCCTTTTGTCCTTTTCCTTTTCTTTTGACGAAACAAAAAGGTGAATCTTTGTGGTTTTCATTTGTAGGATGAACTTAGGGATGCAGTGCTTCTTGTTTTTGCAAACAAACAAGATCTTCCAAATGCAATGAATGCTGCTGAGATTACTGACAAGCTTGGACTTCATTCCCTCCGTCAACGCCATTGGTACTCTCTCTCTCTCTCTCTCTCTCTCTCTCTCTCTCTCTCTCTCTCTCTCTCTCTCTCTCTCCCTCCCTCTCTCTCCGTTTGTGTGTTTGTGTATGTGAGCGTGCACGGGGTGAGGTATCTAAGTTTGTTCGGAAGAATTATATGGGTGATAAAATTTAATTGGATCACTGGCACTCGACAAACAAAAACAGTTCATATTAACATGTATGTTTTACATACACCTTCCATAAATCTCGATTAGTGAAGGTAATTTCGGCATGTGTTGCAGGTACATCCAGAGCACCTGTGCAACCTCCGGTGAAGGGCTGTACGAGGGGCTTGACTGGCTCTCCAACAACATTGCTAACAAGGTAACATCTTCTCACCAATTGCCCTACAGATCTTTTTCCTTTTAGCCCATTACGAAACTATTGGCTGAGTTTTTCCTAATTCAAAATTCTGCCTTTCGATTTCCACAGGCATAAGAAAATATGTGCTGGGAGAATTTAGGTAACTCAAAGCCGTGCGGAATGGGACATTGTCTTTTCGACGACGCCCCTTTTTGTCCTTTTTTATTCTCGAATTAAATCGGATATTAAAGACTAGTTATGTTTTTTTCTCTACACACAGATGATCATCTCCACTCGAGGAGATTGGTTTTGTGTTTCAGCACTTGTATTGAGACTCATTTGTGTTTTAATTTTCTGTGATTGTGTTATTTATTAAGCATGTTTAGAAGCTGCTATTTTTCGTAGTAAGAGTGTTTGGAGTAAGTAACGAATAAGATTTTTTTTTTGAAATTTAATTTATTTACATATTATTAAATAAACCAATTGTCAATTTAGTATTTTAAACTAATCATTGCTGTTAAGCTAGAAACTTAATTATTTAATTTAAGATATTGCTTCTAGTCCAATGCTTAAAGCCAAGGTCTTTAAAAAGAAATTAATTATGTAATGCAAATCATCTATTTGTTCCCCAAACAACTGTGCTTTTAAATAAACTAGTACAGAGTCCGTGCTCGCACGGGTGTACAATTTTAAGGTTATTTATCCAGCTTTATAATTATATAAATCAATAAAAAAATTTACGGGACATATATAGTACGGGACCGATGCGAGACACGGGATATATTTATTTAGGGAATATTATATTATAAGATGCAATATTCAATAAAAGTTTTATAGTACGCAGGAAAATTATACAATAAAATAAAATAGTATCTGACAAAAAAAAATCATATATTATTAAAGACCTCCTTGTACATAGATATTAAATAATTTATTAGTAAAATAGTGTATAAGTTGATTACAATAACAAAACAACATGCTCACGGGATTAGTAAAAATATTCCATGGATTGAAGATTTAATGGTTAAACATTTAAATTAATTAACTTAGATAATTCAAAAGCCTTCCAACATTGTTTTGACTTTAATATATTACAACATATGTATACTTTAAATATATTAATATTTAAGGAACTTTAAACAACATAATTTTTAAGGAAATTATTTTAGGGAAATTTAAACTGCATATTTACGTCACTCATAAAACAGATTATATTTCAACATCATAGTTATAGTATTATTTAAGGAACTTGAAACAACATTGTTAAATATTTACGTCCACCCATAAATTTTTTATAAGTCGAAGGTAATTAATCCCGTTTCTTTTTTTATTTGTTTGTTTGTTCAATTTTTTTGACAAAAATGATATATGGATAAAAAAAAATTAATATTAAATAAATTTTTTAAATAATATAAAATATTATGCTTTAGACAGATATAGGATGCGGATAATCCTCTCATACCAAACAACGTGATTTCAAAATTGACTCAGATCCAGCAATCCTATCCAATATTTCATATAAATAAATATTAAATAAAATGCTTTAAACAGAAATTAGATAAGAAATTTTGAATCTGTCTTTTTTTAGTATAAATAGGCTTTACGTACATTTTTTGACTTCACCGATTATGTGATTTGTTTTGACTAAATCGATGTTATTATGGAATAAGACAAATAAATAATGTCTTTTTTTATTTTAGTAAAGATTTTACGTACTTTTTTTTTGACTTATCGGATGTTATGGGATTTTTTTTTCTTAAGCCGGTTTTTATTTTAGTAAAATTTTTAAAGAATAACTAATATAATTTTATTATCTAACCATCAATAAAATTATTTAATGATGTGATCATTATCTTTTAAATGGTAAATAATATTTTTTTTAAAAAAATATTAGTTTTATATAATTAAATAAAAGTTAAAAAATATTACTCGATAAATTTTAATTATAATGGATATCAGTAAAATCATTGCATAAATTATTTAAAGAAAAAATATTTAAGATAATATCTGGATAATAAATGTAAATATGCAAGCATTTAATGCATATAGTAAAAAATTTCAAATAAGGTATGCATTAAATGTGTGTTGACTTTTTTTGCTACTATTTTTGGTAAATAGGTCTGCTTTTAATATATATATAGAAGCAGGTATTAGAGCTTAAAACCGTATATTATAGGAATGTTAATTAAAGAATTTATAAGACAAAAAATTATAACTTTTTATTTTAATATTTTAAACATTTATTAAAAAATGTAATATATTTGAATCTTTGTATATGCATGTCAAATTTGGGTATCTTCACAATATAATTAATTTAAATATATCGTATTATATATGGCAAGTGACAACAAATAAAAAAGTTACTACTTATGTTTTAAACTGTATTTTTCAATTTTAGTTGATCCATCTCTCCTTATATATTAATTCAAAACGTGTTGAGCCTATGTGGCGGATTCTCATGCTTCGGATGCTGACATGGCAAAAATCTATGCTTCGTGATGTTGTTTTATTATTATTTTTTGCTTTGGAGTTAGGTTTGATATTAGACATAAATAACTTTACACATATATTCATTTACTCAATACCTATGTTGTACATGAGTAGTAGTACTAGTTATTCAATAATTTTAAAAGTCCATGGACAAATGTTCAAATTGTTATATATGATTTTGAATCACCGAAATTAGATCCATATAGGCGACTAAACTAAGCACGAACATATAGACATATAAATAGAGGGGTATTGGGCACATAATCACTTTTGGACGCGATTGGCAACAAGTTAAAATCGGTTTTGACTGATCAGATATTTTCTTTTTTCCACTTCTTAATATAAAATTCAACTTAAATAATCAAACTCTATTTTCCTCAATATTTTAATTATAATTAAATACTTACTAGTCATCCTTACATATCACATTAATTTAAATTTACCACTAACTACCTACATTGATAATAATATATCTTCTACTTTTACTTTTGTTTTTTTTTCCTATAACAACTCCATATATCAAGCCCAAACGGGCAATGTACACAAGCGAAAAACCTCAATCATGGGTACCTGAGAGAGCAAGGCACATTGCTTGCCTAACCGAGACAAATACAAATCTTTATCTACCCATGCCACCCCGAAAGAAACAAACCGATGACTACATACACGACAACTCAGTCTAAAGCTTGACCCACAAACCCATCATACATCATAAACGGTAAACCACATACATAAACACGTAAGTTACATAGACAACTGACACTAGACCTAATCTTCTCCTTTTACATTACATTAACTTTAATCATTAAATCACAAATATTTTTTATATTGATGTTTACTTGTGTTTCCGCTTTATATTGATGTTTTTACATACTGCGTACTCAATCGAACCCCTAAATCGAACCCCTATACATATGTCTCCCATATTTCACTTTATACCTTAGTCTTTTACTTTACGTATAATCTTGTGGGTTTCTCTTTATGTGAGATATTTATTTATGGTGTGCCTCTGCTTTGGTTTGACCTTCAGTCCAGCATGAGTCCCAAAATACCATCTATAATGATCATAACATAGCATGGTAATACAAAATCATACACCATCCCTTTAGACATGCCCATTTGAACTAAAATTGCTTAAACATTTTTTTTTTTTTTTT